GATAGGTTAGTAAAACTGAAGCCTGGACATCAAGCAGTCAAAATGTTTGCATGATAATAATCAGCATTGAGTCCTTTATCAAAATTATGAATTTCATGACCCTGGGGTCAGGGCTCCTAGTGCTAGGTCGAGACTTGATAGATTGTATTGTGAAATGCATTTTTTCTTTGAAAACCTTCTCCGCTCCAGGGCATTGAACGTGTAAATAAGTACATAGTTATGTTGAATAAGGCTGCCTATTCCAAAATTGTGTAATTTTTGGCCCGTGGGTCAGTGGTTCGTGGGTGCTAGGGTGAGACTATATGGATTATATTGTGAAATGACTTTGCTTCTATGAAAATCTTTTTCTTTGCTCCTGGGTTTTAATAAATCGAATACATAGTTATGTTGAATAAAGCTGCGTCTTTCTAAATTGTGAATTTCATGGCCCTGGGGTCATGAGCTCTGGGCTAAATTAATTATATAGTGAAAATGTATATTTTTTTGAAAATCTTCTCTGCTCCTAGGTATTAAACAAATAGACCAAGTACATTGTTCTGATGGGAAAGAATTTCTCTTTCAAAATTGTAAATTTAGTATTTATTAATAAGTAGTATTAAATAAGTATTAAAGTATCATTAAAGTATTAAATAAACTAAACAGATACATTGTTATGTTTAATAAGACTGTCTCTTCCAAAATTGTAAATTTGATGGCCAGCGGGTCAGGGGTTCTGGTGTAACGGCGGGGCTCTATTGATTTTGTGGTGAAAATACATCAATTCTTTGAAAATCTTCTTATTTGCTCCTCATAATAAATCAATGATCTATTTGTACATAGTTATGATGAGGAAGGATGCCTCTTCTAAATTGAATTTCGTGAATTTCAGGACACCAAGATCAGGAGTTTTGGTGTCAAGGCAGGGCTCTAATGATTAGATAGTGAAAATTCGTCAATTCTTCGAAAACCTTTTCCTTTGCTCCTGGGTATTATGCGAATTTTCTTTGAACATAAAGCAATATAAACTGTCAGCAGCAGCAATTCTTGTTTAATCACTATTGTAGCACGTAAACATTATATCAATCTGAAATTTAAAATTATAGACTAAATTTGAACTCAATGAAGGTCTAAAAATCGTTGAAAACGAGAAAATTAGCCGTTCAAGAATTTTTGTCTTGCAAAACAACATTTCCCCGACGTCGTGAGAGATATGCAAGTGACTTCGGGGTCAAATGCTCGGAGACTGATGTTCGCACCAATGTACGCATGTGCAGCTTCTCGGAAATGTAGGAAGATGGCAGAAAAACGTGGTGCAAAGATAAAATTACCGGATTCTGCGAGAAAAAGGAATAAAAGAGAGGCAAATGCAAGATTAAACAAAAACAAAATATACATTGGAGACCAGTGCGATCGTTGGACGGAGCTGCGGACAAAATTATCCGTAAAAACAAATATCGAAGTTGCCAAGATTCTGCTTGACAAGTAAGTGTACACACGTTTGTTAACAGAATGCAAGGTACTAGTATAAATGATTGGAGGAAGATCTCAATACCTTACTGGACTTATACAACAAAAAGAAGCAACTTCGTAAGCCAATTGGTAGCGTAAATATTGTGAGGTACGGAAAGGGTAAATTGGGAAAAAAATCTATAAAATGTTTTGATAACAATACAAGATATTATATATATTAAACGTTTAAATTTCACTGTTCTAGCTATGAAGCTAAGGATGAGCAAACATATACATCAAATATTCCTGCTGGAAAAAAATTTAAACCCTGCGAGACATTAACACCTGTTCCACCGAAGAAAATGTGTATTGTTCAGCCTGAATTGTCTGGCATTTCACCAAATGAAGTTGGAAAAGAGTAAATATCTAAGCCTGTTTTACATTTGCTAAAATTTGACAAGTATTCATAAATACATATATAATTACCAAATCCATTATAAATGGTCTTTTAAAAATTATCATGTATAATGTCCCAGTCACAGTGTCCCCTGATTTTGGTTAAAGCGCCCTCTAACATTTTTTTACAGAAAAAAAATTAAATAAATAATCTTTACTGTCCCCAATAAATGTTCAAAATGTCTTCTGGTTTTGGTTAAAGCGCCCTCTAACATATTTTTACAGGAAAAAAATTGAATAAACAATCTTTACTGTCCCCAGTAAATGTTCAAAATGTCTTCTGGTTTTGGTCAAAGCGTTCCCTAAATTATTTTTACAGGGGAAAAAATGATTCGAGTCCATCCCCTAGCAATGGTCAAAATGTCCCCTGATTTTGGTCAAAGCGCCCCCTTATAGAATTTTTTCAGGTAACTGCCATAAAATGATACAAATACAAACAGTTTTATTCCGTAAAATGTTTTTAAAATATTAGGGTGCGCCTTGATCCAAATCGGATATGTTTTAACCATTGCTTAGGGACGGTTCCCAGACGATTTTTCTCAGGAAAAAAAAGGGCGATTTGACCAAAATCCGGGGGTGCATTGATTAAAATGAGGGGACGCTTTGACCAATATTTGGGGCTGTTTTGAAACATCATTTTACTGTTAAATTCTATAGGGGCGCTTTGACCAAAATCAGGGGCATTTTGACCAAAATCAGGGGACGCTTTTGCCAAATCAGGGTCGCTTTGATGGGAACGGTTTTATTAGTGGGCGCTTTGACTGGATTTCTTAAAATGTATTTTTCGAAGCCCAACAATAAAAATGGATTTGTTTGATGCACATTGACCGACCATAAAAATCGCTCCCTACTCAAACTTTTATATTTCCCCAGTATTTTGAATTTAAACATTTGGGGGGAGGGGTCAAGGAAATGTACATTGTTTAATCTAAAAAAGGTTTATAAATCTCCAAGATGCATTTTGGAAAGAACTTTTTTGTAGCAATTAGTTTTAAACATGTCTTATCCATTGTATCAAGAAATCATCAATTAATCTTAGTAAGTCTTAACAGATAAATTAAAAAAAAAACAAAACACTGAAACACCTACATTGTACCTACATATTCACCTAGAAAAATGTAAGTCTGAGTACATCAAACAAAAATGTTTTTATAATGGCTAAAATACGTCATATATTTTTTCAGCATTGACGATTTTGATATACATGTATGCATTTTTATTAGATTGACAATGAGTGCCTCTGAACTGACATGCGAAGAAAATGACTCCTCTGATAATGAAGAATATGAACCAAGTTTCCACATGTCATTAAAGTTATTTCTATAATAATTGTTATTTAAAAAATAATATATTTAACTTTAATTAAAAGAGGTTTAATATGTTTAATCATTGTAAATATTTCAGATAGCATAAACATACTCCTGGGAAAAATTATTGTTTATTTGTTCATTTAACAGTAATAATACACATTTTAATTTTTTTTTTAATTCTTTATCATAGACTTGACCATGGTGTGACCTTAGATGAGTCAGATTCAGAAGATATTGAGAGCGATGAAGAAAAAACTGAGGTAAATGCTGAGTTTGACAGCATACCAGTGATACGCAACAATGATGAAATCAAACAACTGATCCATGATTTTTCCAGCCATTATTTACATTAATCAGCAAATTACCTTGGCAGAAACAGGAGTTCCCAAGATTTGTAGGGTGAAAGGATGTGAAGCTCTAGTTCACGTTTCATCAGAAGTAGTGTCTTCAGCTGTGTACCTGCGAAGGGTAATCAACATCAGTATAATTTTAAAAGAGTCATTCATATATAATACATGTACATATATTGTTACAAGGCTCCATTCACCTTTTTTTTGAAATACAAAGGCACTTAATGACTTATTGAATTTCTGTTCCAGATCTGCACAAAAAAATCAAAAGGCACGCAAATGGTGTTCACAACCTCTTCCTAACAGACGGGTTCACAGTGGGGATGTTTTGCTGTCAGCAGCTTTACTGGCGTCAGAAAATAATTTTCAAAAGATTTCCCTCTTTTTCAAGATCCTGAAGCTCCCTATTCTCTCCGTTTCATCATTCATTAAGATACAAAGAACCTACTTCACGCCCACTATTGACGAAATTTGGGGAAAGCATCAGAATGAAATTTAAAAGGTTATGAGGCAGAGATGTTGTTGTTCTTGGTGAGTACAATATCAACCAACTATTTGTATCATTTGTTTTGTCAAGAAAAGGATCGACATGTTAAAATTTTTCTTTTATTTTGATTTTAATTTTTTTTCTTTTCTTAGGCGATGGTCGTGTGGACAGTCCAGTCATTCTGCACAGTATTGTACATACACATTTATGGAAAACGATATTCACAAGATACTGTGCTTAGTGACCATGGACAAGAGAATGACGGGTAGAAACAGTGCCATCCTTGAAAAGGTGTGCTTTCAGAAGGGCCTGCAGTTCCTCCTTGAAAAAGAAATAAAGGTGGTGGAAGTAGTGACAGATGCACATGTGCAGATTGAAGCTTAAATGAGTATGTCTTTGTATATTTCTTTGGTTTTTATCCCCCCGTATACAAAGTTTCGGGGGTACATAGTTTTTGTCGTGTCTGTCTCCCTGTTTGTCTGTTTGTCAGCAAAAACTTCAACCTTGCTCATAACTTTTGATTTAGCAGAACTATGACTTTCATATTTCACATGTGTATTCCTTGTGAAAAGACATTTCTTTAGGTACCACCAAATTTGACCTGTTGACCTCAAACTTGGATTTTGACCCTTTTTCACAAAAATTACAATCCTAACTATGTTGCCAGACGGGGGCATCAGTGTTCAATAAACACATCTTATTTTCTTCTAGCTTGAATTTATAAAGAGGATTTTTTTCTGATTTTCTTTAAGGATAAATAAATAAAATCAATTTACTATAACTCTCATCACACTTTTTCGACAGAAAATACACAGAAATAAAACATTCATTTGACATCTGGCATGGGTCCAAAAATCTTGGGGAAAAACTAATAAAGATGAGACAATTTAAGATTGTTATTTTGAGAATTTTTCAAAATTTGAAAAAAAAATCTCAATGAGTTTACTGAATTTTGAACCTTATTTTTAGGCTGGACAAGAAAAAAACAAAGAAGCCAATATTGCAGTGGACGAGAGCTATAGTGAACCATTTTTGGTTTGGTCCTCTGTAGCAAATACAGAAGATGAGTTTATTGTAAGTTTGAATTGTTAACAGAAAAACAATTTGATTCAGTTTGTGTTAAGGTAATAGGGGTGTTATAGAAAGTGAAAAATTGTTGTTCTTCTTTTCAGGGCATTTGGTTTGGAGTCATACATCATGTTGTGAATGAGCATGAATGGATTTTGCCATATAGAGCAGGAGGAAGAAGTTCATGCCAGCATGGTCCTTTAACACATGGTGTCGTGCGTGAAATTGTCAGAGACAAAAAGCTGATAAAGAAGATTCCTTACTACCTTAATTGCCAGTATACACAAAAGTGATTGTATTACTCTCATTTAAAAATATTTTCTATTATGCTTATCCAATTACTATGTACATGTATAATGTTTGCATTAGGAAATGAAAACACAAATATGATACTAATATATATAATGGATTTCTATATTATTAGATTAAAAGTTTTCAGAAAAATTTCACCATGTATACATGTATATTTTATTATTATTTTTTCTTTTCTTTTACAGAAGTAGAGCAGCTTTGGAGAACTTTCAAAATCTAATTTTGAAGTACTCATCAAAGCGCTATCCTCACACACCTCCAGTCTACAGAGCCAGAAACCTTGTGGCTGCACTGGACCATAATGCAAATTGTGAAAGAGAGACTGCCAGAAGAAAAGATGGATCACTTAGGTTTCTTTTTGTTTCATTCATGTATTTTATAAGTTAAAATCTGCAATATCGGTGTAAGTCATTTCTATGGCACGGCAAATTCACAAAAATTAGCTAAACATAGTTTCACAGTCTATAAACTAAGTCTATCAGTTGTAAACTATAGTTTACGGACTGTAAACTATATAGTTAACAACGTTAATCTATATTTTACATCTGTAAACCATAGTTAACGCGATAATCTATGTTTCACAACTGTAAACTATATTTAACACCAAAAACAATCATTTGCGATTGCAAAAACATAGATTATCTGATATACTTCACGATTGCAAATTATCGTTTACAGACGTGACTCTATGTTTATCAACAAAATCTATTGTTATCGTTTTATTACAGACAGATAAACCTAGATTTGCATTTGTAAACCATAGTTAACAACCGTTAAATATAGTTTTACAAATGAAAACTATAGTTAACGAATTGCTAGCTATAGTTCATGGTTTGTAAACCTGGTTTATAAACTTTGTTTAGCTATTTTTTTGTGAATTTGGCGTGCAATACATTTCCCTGACTAGGTTGGAATGCATTATGAAATGCATTGAATCTTGTACCTTAGGCATCAGCGGTACCTTAGCCAAAAAAAGTGGATGATGGTCTGCCTACCCAGTAAGGGAAGAAAATAAATATCCTTATGCATCCAACGTTATGAGACTATGCGTCCCTAATAGGATATTCGACCCCGTAGGCATGAACCGACCAGTTGTCCTTGATGTGGAGGATCCACGACGCATGTCCATGACCCTGGCTTCTGTTGCCCCACCACCAACCGAATCTCTGGTGGCAGAGAAGAAATCACCATTTCTTCATGAGAATCCAGAAGGACATCTCTCTAATGATGTTGTTTAATTTAAGCAATACAATGCTGTCTTTGGTTAAACGTTGTTATAAATTGTATTATAGACATATGTCATTGTAAAGTATGCATAAATGAGGGAACAGCCATTTACAGGATGAAGATCCACTTTTCAGTCGACTGAATGGTAACTGAATGCCCACTGAATGGTCACTGAAAGGTCACTGAAAAGACCCTTTCCCGTCACCTTTCAGTGAACATTCAGTTACCTTTCAGTCGACTGAATGACACATACATTTCAGTGACCTTTCAGTTATCATTCAGTTTCATCTCTTTATTGAATAATCGGCTTATTTTTAAACTTAAAAATTTCATTCCACTTTTTTTTCTGGTATAACAGCATTAAATTGATCTAATTCTGAATAAAAATGGAGAGAAAAAAATTAATGCAGAAAAAAAATGTGCCAAAGGCCAGAATCGAACCCGGATCTACTGCTTTAATGTCCACGACCTCTTTTTTTTTTATCTTTTATTGATAATCATCATTATTTACATTTCATTTGTTTAAAAACATTCAGGACAAAAATACTAGAAAAATAAAAACAAAAAAATTATAAAATAAATAATAACATCCCCTCTGTTTCTTTTACAAAATAATTTAGAGAATACACCCTTTCTATTTTCCTTGACACACAATTGATAATAATTATATGAAATAAACTGTCTCAATGTGTATTTGCAAAATTTTGTTACATCCAACTTTTGTTGATTGTTAATGAACATTTGTCTTCCTTTGTAAATACTTAATCTACACACAGACAAAAAGAAATTAACCAAAAAAATATTAACATTCTTTACGTCCTTTGACAATGAATAAAAATTTTTTTATCGAATTCTAAAGTATTGAATATTTCTAACATCTACATCGTTCATTAAAGTTTCTAACTGATAAACAACAAAATTGTTTTTAAAATCCTGCAATTCCGTACAGCCGATAAACAAGTGTATTGTATCTTCAACTTCTGACAAACAAATAGGACAAAGACTGGAATCAGTTTTACTAATTTTAAACAATTTTTCATATGTAAATATCACATTGTGATATAATTTAAAATCTAATTCAATAATTTCAGGTTGTTTGTAAGACTCCCATAAGACGATCCATATATTGACAAAAACATCAGATTCATGTAAATTAAATTTTTCTCTCCAAAACGTATTTGAAACAGGATATTGAAACAGTTTTTTGACCAACAATTTATAAAATATTTTTGTTGAACAAGTACTAAAAACTATATTTTGATTTTCATAATTAATATAAAAATCTGCCATAAAACTGGCATTCTTGAATTATTTTTCTTTTACATATTTTGTCCATTCTGTTGGCATACTTTGTAAAAGGATATTGTAATTTTCCTTGATTTTCAAAACATTTGCATCAGGAATTTTCTCTAGAATTATATCAACAACATGAGAACTAGGTAAAAAACCCGGTATAACTTCATAAGAAATATCTTTAACATGTGTAATCCCTGCATTTATAAAATCATTCCATTTCAACATTTTAAGCATTAATATTTCCGAATTTGCTCTTAAATTGCATACTTTAGACAAAAAATATTTGAAAATATATTTCCACACAAAGTCTTTAGAAGTACATGAATATTTAGCTAAGAATTTAAGTCTAAATGACAACATTTTAAGATATATATCATTTACCATCAAACCACCATTACGTTTATCACCAGCGATGGTTTCATAAGACACTAAATGTGCACCATAATTCCAAATGAAATTTAAACATTTTTTTTGTATAGTATCTTTTGCCCATTTAGGCATGGATATAACAGACAATGCATACCATAATTTTGACATCAACAAAGTGTTTATTACAACCACTCTTCCCTGAATTGTTAATTTTCTTTGTCTCCATAAATTTAGTATTTGTATTATTTTTTGTACTTTGTCTTTCCAATTCAAAGTCTCACATTCTTTTTCATTTTTGCCGAAATAAATACCAAGTATTTTCATAATATTTGTCTCAGAAATTTCAATGTTCTTTTTTACATCATTTGATAAACAACCGGAACCTATACACATTATTTCTGACTTTTGTACATTAATTTTAGCACCTGATGCATTTCCGTACAATTCAAAAACTTTTAAAACTTCTATATCAGAATTTGTATCTGATACCGCCATAGTTGTATCATCAGCATGTTGAAACATTAAAGCGACCTTATCTGACATAGGAATTGGTATCCCTTTTATAATCGTACTACATTTCATGGCATGATACAAAGGTTCTGCCGATAAAACATATAACAATGCAGAAATAGGACAACCCTGTCTTACCGAATTTTTTATAGGAAAATAATTTGTCAAAAACCCATTACATTTAACACTACTAAAAATATCATGATAAAAAATCTTTATCCACTTCTTGAAAGAAGGTCCAAAACCAAATGTATCTAAAACATCACATAAGTAGTCAGGACTAACTCTATCAAAAGCCTTCTCTTGATAAATTTTAACAACATATCCCTCTAAATTATCCATTTCTACTAAATCAATAATGTCACGAATACTAACAAGTGTATCTGCTATATCTTTTCCTATAATGCAACATGTTTGACTCTCTGATATGATATTTGGTAAAAACAAGTTTTAATCTATTAGCCATAACTCTTGCAATAATCTTATAATCAACATTAAGTAAACTTATAGGTCTCCAATTCTTTAAATGTTTTTGTCTCCCTTTTTCTTATACAGTTATAATGCCCATTTTCATTGTGTACGACAATGTTTCTTTTGCTTCTACTTCTTTATACAATTTAAATATTATATCCCTCAAATATGGTAAAAACGTTTTGTAAAATTCGACCGTTAATCCATCAGAACCTGGAGTCTTATTATTTGACATTTCTTTAATAGCTTTTATAATTTCTTCATTGTTAATACTTCTATCACACATTTCAACATCGTTTTTATCTATTTTTATATTAACAAATGATAAAAAATGATTTTACTGTCTTCTTCAATACTAACAGATGCATATAGTTTTGAATAAAAGTTGTATTGAATTTCTAATAATTCTTCTGTATTTTTCCTGAGAACTTCATTTTCATCTACTAATTTGTTGATTGAGTTTGATTTTTGTTTAACTTTTTTAGGTCACCTGAGTAAACTCAGGTGACCTATTGCTATCCGTTTTCGTCCGTCGTCGTTCGTCCTTCGTCGTGCGTCGTGCGTTAACATTTGAACATTTTCAGCTTCTTCTCTGCAACCACTGAACCAATTTCCACCATATTTGGCATAAAGCATCTATGGGTAAAGGGGAACAAAAATTGTGAATTTCATGATCCCTGCCCCCCTGGGGCCTGAGGGGTTGGGCCAAAACCACTAAAATTAATGCAATCTTTAAAAATCTTCTTCTTTACTCCTGGACATCAAGCAATCGAACTGTTTGCATGATTGTAATCAGCAATGAATCCTCTACCAAAATTGTGAAATTCATGGCCCCAAGGTCAGGGGTTCTAGTGCTAGGGCGGGGCTAAATAAGTAGGTAGTGAAAATGCATTATTTCTTTGAAAATCTTCTTCTCTGCTCCTGGGTATTAAATAAACCAACAAAGTACATAGTAATGATGAGCAGGAGTGCCTCTACCAAAATTGTGAATTTTATGGCCCCAGGGTCAGGGGTTCTGGTGTTAGGGCGGGGCTCTATTAATTATATAGTGAAAATACATTATTTCTTTGAAAATCTTCTTCTCTGCTCCTGGGTATTAAATAAACTAACTAAGTACATAGTTATGGTGAGCAAGAGTGCCTCTACCAAAATTGTGAATTTTATGGCCCCAGGGTCAGGGGTTCTTGTTTTAGGGTGGGGTATATATAGTGAATTGCATGAATTCTTTGAACATCTTATCCTTTGCTCCTGGTTAATATGCTAATGATCTAATTACATATTTAAGGCCAGGTTTTTTTTTTATTTTCAGTTGTACAAAGCCTCCGCTCAAGTTTTTGAATTTTCAGAAAAAATAAAACAATTTTTTTTTTCTTTCCGATGTCAAATATAAGTCGGGATCGAGATTTCAAATTTACAACTCGCACTTCCGGTTTTAAGATGAAACGGCGGGTAAATAAAGCTCCACATCTGAGAAGATAGCTTGGTTTAGTGTAAAATTCATCGATACGAGTGTCATTCAAAACGTTTCACCCGTTCAAAGGACAAATAAAATGCTTACGACTTTG